TAATCAGAAGTGCAAGGAGCAGCAAGTGTGATATATACGGAATGTGGAGTATAGACAATATTGACAATATACAGTACATTACAGCGCAGATTGTAGTGAATATATACAAATAAATATGGCAGCATGAACAAGAGGGAGTTACGTATAATATACATGGGGGGATATAAGCATACAACATACAAGATCAGTCCTAAAAATCTACTGAGCTCTGAAATGATGAGAAAAAGCCTGAAGAAATTGACCTCCCAGACCACTGGATGACATCATGTGGTGGACACAAGCATTCTGAGCTCTGGAGAATACACACTCAAAAAGGCAGTTTGGCATTAAACTAGGGAAGCCCAATCCAAAAAGGGTGAGAGGGTGGTCAAGTGGAGCTGGGCTCTGGTCTGTGTGAAGGAGGAGGATGTTACTTAACCAGTAACATTTCATAAAACTTGCTTCAGGGCCTCATCCATGGAGGGAGAAGTGGCCTGTTTCTATTGGCTCGCTGCTCTTAATAGACATGATTGACATCTGAAGAATCAAGGAAGACCAAGGTGAACTGTCGGGCAGTGCAGGGGGACAGCAGCAGCAACCGTGGGATATGTACAGAACTGTGTCTGGTCTGGAAACCCACCTAGACACAGGTAGAACATGCAAACAAGGCTCCAAGAGGTTTGGAGATAAACCTTGGAACTTCAAGGAACAGAATAATTTAAATGCTGCATTTGCTGTACCACCTCTAAAACTGCTGTCACTCATTAGTACCGATGGCGCTGGGTTAGTCCTGGTTTAGTCCCAGGTAAAATATGAGCTGGGTTATATTTCATTCCTACTTTCAACAAGACACCCTCAGGCAGTTATCCTGGACTCATAGAACCGCAGTTATAATTCTGGTTTAGTCCCAGAAAGGTCTGGTTTGGTCCAGGGAATACTTTTATATTATAGTCCATATGCTCTTGATGAATCTTATTTTTTCTTGTTTTAATTGTGGTTTAATCCTGATTTATACTGCTTTAAACCTGGTTAAATCCTGGTTCATTCCTGATTTAATCCTGGTTTAAGTCCTAGTTTAGTCCTGCTTTAGTCCTAGTTTAGTCCTGGTTTAGTCCTGGTTTAATCCTGGTTTAGTCCTGGTTTAATCCTGGTTTAGTCCTGACACGAGTGTGAGTGATGTTTTGGAGTGCCCTGCTCATTTACAGGTCACTCTGTAAGTGCAACCTTCAAAATGAGCTTTGACAAAGATGATGGATGGAATTTTAAAGTGTGTGTGTGTGGGGGGGGGGCATGTCCCGACAGACCTGTGGCCGCTCTCACATCCTGCAGCTCACACACTCAAGACAAACAAAGAGAGAGGAGGCTCAGGCTTGTTTTTTACTGACACTCGGTTTGAATGGAAAATGTTTCATTCATTTTCAGCCCATCATCTTCACTCTCCAAACCCTTGAAATGGGTTCAAGGAGATTCTTCAGACAACCACGTGAAGTCTCCCCCATGTTCACCTGTGCCCACCACTCCACCCCCGACTTACTTTAAAAATTAATTACTGGTCAGGAGAAATGTTGGCCTACCCCATATGGAAAAGGTATAGATAAATCATACACCATTTTAACATGTTTTATCTGAATCCTAAAAGATTTGTATATGACACTGAAAACAGTTACAAGATCTTTGGTAAATATGTGCAGCATGAAACATATATAACTTTGTAACATACAAGGGCTGTATATGACACTAATCCCACATACATTATCCTTTCAAGTGTTGGACAAAGGTCATTTTTACCACAGAATCATAGAAAAACAAGTGAATGATGTTTGCTTCCTTAAACTCGATTGCTGTGTTGTGTGTGTATGAGAGTGAGAAAGAAAATTATCACAGTGTGGGTGTGTGTGGGTGTGCGTGCGTGTGTGTGTGTGTGTGTGTGTTGGGCAGCATGGGGGTAAACACAGTAATACAAATACTGCATTACAACCTTGAAAAACAAGACATACACTCTTCCACTGATATCAGGTAATTCCTAATAATTATATCAGGCTGTAAAAAGATTTTTACTCTGCAAAATCCTGTAGCCCCTTTCCTTGTTGCCTCTTCAAGGTTGCCATTTACTTCTGGGATACCAGAGTACTTGTAACTGTCCTCAACATCTGCTATAGTTCTCACCACTACTAACAGCTGGGTAGTGTAACAGGTAAATCACTGGACTGTCACATGTGAAACCTGGGTTCAAATCCCCATTCTGACTCAGACTTTGTTTTGTTTTTTTAACTGCAACATATAATTAAAGAATACAAACATTACATGGAACATACAAAGAAAATGTAGTTTATCATGCACATTACCTGTAAATGTCATGCAAAATGCTCACTTTATCTTTACTAGTTTTTCATAATATAGTTGTATGAGAAAAATGCTAAAGGGGTACACTTTCAGGAGTAAACCACACATGACACATATTAACCTCATATAAAGATTTACTATAAAGACAGTGGTAAATTCTTTTTTTTTTTTTTTTTTCCAAGTTTTTTTCCTTATGGGACTCCTCCATCTCCAGGCAGATCTCACAGTGTCAGTGACAGTGGTTCATTCCGAGCTCACAGTGTCCTGAGTTTTAATCCTTCCTGAACATGTGATGTGGAGCTTTTATCACTGAAGTTTTATTCTCCAATAATATTTTTTTTTCTAATGTTCTCATATAGTGATTTAACACTTCCTTTGTTAACGGTAAAGTTATAGGCCTGCCTGTGTGAGGTAGATAAGTAGGCTATGGAGTGTAAATGAAGTTGCCCAGTGTTTGCTGTGGAATGATGCTACCTCTTTCACCACTGGATGCTCCGGTTCCCTCATCATCTCAGTCACTGGCCATGTCTTTAGTTTAGTCAATGAATGACTCAGGTTGGAAAAAAATGTTAACAAAGCTTTTTCACTTGAAACATGTTTATTAGTAGTATATTAGATAACACGAAAAAGTCCACCGAAATCTGACCACTGGAACCATGTTTATAAAGGGGAGAAAAACCCTCAGTTTCATGCCAAATTCAAGATGGCCGCCATCCAAAGCCTCATACACAAATGGGCCTCATTTTGAGACCAGTTGTCTTATTACCTTAGTAAGTGTGTTAGTTTCAGCAAGTCAACAACATGCCACTTCATTTTGTTCAACAATTGGACAGTTCAATGTCAAGGTCATACATTAAGGTCAAGGTCAAAGAAAATTGGCCCGAGTTCACTCGTCTGCTTAATATTTTGGCTAAATATAACTTCATTACTATTTTATGGTGTAAAATTAAAGAAAAAAATGTCCTACTCTAGCTCCTTTTTCCTCTCTTAGAGAACTGGCCAGTCACCTGGAAGAAATTTTACTATCGATCACTGAACACTCTAAATTAGAATGCCGTGCTTAAACTGAACAGTAGTTGTACATCTGCTTTGTTTTAACGTATCAGTCATGCTAAAATATTTGTTTTGATGACATTACATATTATTTGGCACTGCTACCGCTAATACAATTCCATCAAAGTCAAACTGTGGGCTTTCTACCATGATTCGAAACAAAGCCAATGCAAACTTATGATGAGCAAATTAGTACAACAGTTCTTGTTCTCACCTTGGTTCACAAGACAGTCATTCTTCCCCATCTTTATCAAAGTTGCTGCTCTCTCGTTGTGAGACCATTTGGTGACACTGCCCAGCCCCAATCTACAAGTGGGAGATAATTTCTGCACCATGCTTGTACCTGGTGCTATGTCCTGTAGCAGGATTTGTTGTTGGTAGAAGTTTCTCACTTCACTCTAGCTACCAGTATCTTCTTTTGATGAACATGAAAACAGTTTGTTTCCAAAAAAAAAGCTTTCTTGCTCATGGTAAGGCGCATTTCTGAAGAAACTGAAACAGAAGCTCCAACATCTTTACCCATCCTACGGCAGTGCAATGCATCACTGGTGCTAGACTGGAGATAACCGTTGAAAATAACAAGTGCATTTAAATAGTTTGCCTCACATGTCGGATTTCACATATCTGGAAATAGGCGGAATGTTTATGCCATGCAAATTCATGAATCAATCCACACCCCCCAATCAATAACATACTGTAAACCTTTAGTTGGTAGCTTGGGCACAATGCAGATGGCAACAAGCTTCAAAAGATAATGGCTAAATTCTCCCTTGTCTCCAGTTTACATTTCGAGGCAAACTGAATTTGGAAGGGAAAATCTGATATAAATGCCCCTGACCAGTTCACCTCAAAAACTGTTCCCAGTCTCCATGATGGGTAAAAGTATGTTACACATAACTAACAAAAGGAATAACAAATTGTATTGCTGTGGCAGAATGAGATATTTTGATAAAAAAAAAGTAATCAAAAATAATAAATATTATATAAAATAACACCTGTCAGCACAACAAGTGCGTTTATAAGGCAGCTGGTTTCAACATTAAGCCTCTTGTTGTATGAGACTGACTGGCAGCCATTGGATTTGGCATAAAATCGAGTCTTCTCCCCCTTAAAAACATGGTTCCAGTGGTCAGATTTCGGTGGACTTTTTTGTTTGAAGTAATATACCACTAATAAACATGTTTCAAGTGAGAAAGCTTTGTTAACATTTTTTTCCAATTTAGCCTACATTTTGTAGTTCGTTTATGACACTACTTCATACGGTGGCCACCATAACGGCCTGTCTCGATCTGCTCCTGGCAGCTGTTCACAATGGCACTGGTTGAAAGATGCGTGACGTGCGTCAAATGCAGAAGACAAATTTCCCTGAAACAATAGTTTAAACTTCTCAAACTTAACTGCACAACTCTGCTCATTTAAATCCATGTGAAATTAGTGGAGAAGTAAAGCATTCGTTTCCTGTGACGCTGCGCTCCAACGCACAGAGAGCACGGTGTTTTACCCACGAGACTTTTATTTAGAAAGACCCTCCCCGGAAGTTCTCAGCGTGTTGTGCGTGAGCTACACGCGGGGGTGTAAAGGTGCGCGTGCTGCCCAGGTGTACCACACATCGTCGTGCACTGGCCTCGGTCCCTCGCGTTTGCACCGAGCGGCGGGATGACACGTGCACGCTCCCGGTGTTTGCCATGGAGCGCGCTCCTGATACTGCTGCTGGCCACGCGCACGGATCAACAGTCTCCAGGTACTGTCCATCCCAGACCCTCACGTGCGCGGGTCAGGAGCCTGTGGTGCGTGTGTGGCCCGGGTTTAGAGCTACCACAACTCAGTGGAGAAGTGTTATTTAGTGATAGTGTACATGTGCATTCTTATTATAGGCCTATTATGGGTTTATAGCCTATTTTAGTAGCCTGTAGGGATAGTTTAGACTATAAACTTGTTGTAGACCTAATTACTTGTGCGTGTGGTTGCGTGTTGACCTTTTAACCCTTTCTCACACCTGCGGACTCTCCCCCAGGCCCCTGAGCTTCATTATCAGTGATGTTGGTGTAATTAAAGTAACTGAAAGTGAACCAGACTTAAGATGGACAAAATTATGTTCGTCCTAGGCTGCTATTGCTATGCTTCATGCAACAGTCTGTAGTGATATTGTAGTAACAGCACTCGTCAGGACTCGGTGGTGGCTCACAGGTCTGCTGCCTTCAGTGTTGCCTCAGGATCAGCCTCTGACTTTGGACTTATTGTAGTCAGTGTCTGATATTGTGTATAGTGTTGTTACATCCAGATATATAGATGCATATGCTGGAAAGTGGTCGAGTTTGTATTAACAAAAATGAACTTTTCTTATTTTTTTTAAGCGATATTCAGACATTATGTTCAATGTGCGTCAGGAACGTGCTAAAACGTGTCTGTAAATGTTTTGGGTGAAGTTCAAGTCTAGCACAAAACGTGGATGGATCATAAAACAAACCACAAAAATGCAGAAAAAAGACTATGCCCTTGTGAAGTTTACATGACATTTCTGTTCATTTTCTTTTTAATCAGCTCTTATTGCAATATATTTTTATTTGAATTACACTCAACTCACAATAATCTTATTTTGCTCTCCAAAACTACAATTGTGAGTGAAAAATTAATCATTTTTATTTTTTCTCATCTTCTCCCACTTAGAGCCTGATTTAAATTGGTCCTGCTTCTCTCCATGCAGATGCTTTATCTGCAATTTTCCACATTATAGACTCAGTGTAACTGAGTGTACAATATTACTCAATTACATGTGCAATATTGCCTGAAAAACATGCATTCTTACTGTGAATGGGCTCGCTTTTCTACAGATCTGTCCTGTTTGTTGGCCCTGTGGCGTACCCGCTTATCTCTATATAAGTAAGTGTAATGCCATATTGTGGAACATTGTGGACAACACAGTAATGTCTCCAAGGAGAAGGTGACAGACCCTCTACCAGAAAAGTTACGCATTGCACCTTGAGAGCCCCTGTAATCCTGAGCAAGTTATGTTTAGATTTATGTACAAAATCATATTTCCACCCCATCAGAAAGATATGTATTGAGTATTGTTTTCCATGGACTCATAGTCTGACAGGGGCAGGGGGGAGAGGGCTGCACCTGAGCCTGAGGAATGAGCTTCAGTCTGGGCTTGTCTGATCAGCACTTCACCCTCCACTGCCTCCACGCTTCCAGCTGCACTGTCTGTACCATTTGTGTGTGCTGGAACCTGCTTAATAGCAGGACAGTGTGAGATCAGAATATGTGTAGTCTCATAAATATTGTATACGGTTACAATGTTTGATTTATGACACACTCTTTTGTTGAATTGGTTGAATTTCTTATACAGGGACATCAGGCGATCACTGATATCCTTTTTGAGCCTGAACCAAACATCATGCGCTTGATGATCATGCACTTGGATTGGTTTATTTCAGTGATGCATGTGAAATGAAGGAGCTCATTGGTCATCCATCATTCACAAACAAAATGATTTCTATCGTCTCAAATTGCTTTGTTCAGTTCAGTTTTTTCAGTTTGTGTGATATTTTCCCTTCTTTTTTTTTTTTTCTTCTTTCCATATTAATTGAATACAGATGGACCATGCATGTCCCTGATGGGCTAATCCACCTGTCAATCACACCCATGTATTTGCAGAGATTAACTGGTGACCAGACTTACATCTTCATGAAGTACTGATACTATATGTCTGTGTATTAGGGTAATGTAGTTACCATGGAGACAATGCCAAATAATTTTTAAGAACATCTGAAAACTACAGAAAATATACTAAATGCACATTTAAAAGCACATTTTCAGGAACCTGCTCAATACAAGCATTCATGGTTCTGTTTGCGATTTGACAAACTTGTTTAAACACACAAATCAGCTCATCTGTTGTATTTGTGTATTGTCTTAAAATAATGCTCAGATTAAAGTCTACTTAAGATTCAGACAGCAGTGCCTACTGTTAGCATCACACCCCCAGGGAATGGCATCAGCTACAAAGTATTAATTGAAGAAGTGTGTATTATGGATCCCAGCCACATTCTTTTGCAACATCACGCTAAAAACAACTACTGTATTTTTAGGACTAGAAGCCACTTTTTTTTTTAATGTTTTGGGTGTTTCCTGTGACTTGTACTCAAGGTTGACTTATATATTCAAATATATAATTTCACATGTTGCTTATTTTCACACTGAGCCGCACTCTAGGCTTGTGTGCCAGGATCTTCTACTCCTATTACTCCTGTACCACTGAATATCACATTCTGCAGATTACAATCTGCAAGTGGTGAAATCTGCAGCTGAAAAGGTTAATCGAGCAGCAGAAAGAAAGTTTAGAGTGATCAAGAAACTTGTGAGGGACTGGTGAAAAGCAGAGGATACTTGAACTGCAATGAAGAAAACAAAAAAAAAGCTCATCACGGGCTAAAACCTTGACTGTCATAGAGGAACAAGTTCAAGAACAACGTGCTGCCGAGAAGAGCTTGTCCACAGTGCAGTTCCGTCTCCATGGTCAGGTAGTTTCCAAGGCGATGAATATAAATGAGTTTACAGAAGGAGCTTTTTGTTGTTACTGCTTCAGTGCAACGCAACCGCCTTTATCTAAGGACGAACAACAGTGCCCCAAAAACTGCCCGCAGACTTCCAAACTGAGGTCGACAGTTTGAAGAGTTGAAATGCCTGTTCTTGGTTTCAGATTTTATTAAGTACATTTCCCCCAAAAATGCGGTTTATACTCGGGAGCGACTTATAGTTCAGAAAATACAGTATATGGTTAAAAGTTCAGATATGGGTCCAAATAGGTTAGGGTTTAGGTTAAAGATATGTAAGTAGTAACCTCAGAAAATGAAATAAGTTAATGCGATATCCCCGGTGTGTGCAGATGTTTGTGTGTTTAGAGTGTGTCATGTGGTTCTCTCCTCCGGGGCTTTCTCCTGCTCTTCACCCTGACACACTGCTGCAGCCTTACCTCACATGTGTGTCTGTGCAGAGGTCACCCGGGTCGGGTGTGTCCGGTACCTCCCCAGGTCAGACAAGGGCAAGAGGAGGCCACCTAATGACCCTCGTGCAGAGTAGTGTTCATTTCATTGACAAAAACATTCCATCATAGGTTTTGTCAATGTTTTTGCTGAGTTAGGCCAAGATGTTTTTGTCGACTACAGGCCGCCACACACTACAGGAGAATTTCCCTTGCGTGCGTGTGTGTGTGTATGTATGTGGTGTCAGTGTGACTCTGCTCTGTCAGATCATAATCATCAAACATCAGCAACGCTATGGCAACAGGATATAAAACAGAGCATCAGCATGATGCCTCACCGTGAGTTTTAGTTTGGACTCTTGGCACAGTTAAAAGATGAGACCTGAGGATCTGAGAGTCCGAGAGGACTCATATGATAAAAGCAGATCAGATAAATAAATAGGACTAAGGCCATTAATAGCTTAATAAACCAATAAAATAATTTTAAAATCTATCCTGAAGCTCAGAGGAAGCCAGTGCAGAGACTTGAGTACTGGGGTGATGTGCTCTCTCCTCCTGGTCCTTGTCAGCAGCCATGCTGCAGAGTTTTGGGGGAGCTGCAATGGAGCTGTAATTTTCTTTGGAGGACCAGAAAGGAGAGCATTACAGTAATCAAGCCATTTTATAATGTTATTACCTCCTCAAAAACAGACCTGGAGTTGTGTTTTGTTAAATTTAAACATGCTTTAGTAACCTAGTCTAGATCTCCAAAGCTCAAAATGCTCTGCTCCATCTGATAATGTCATGAAGGTGTATGGTGTTTTTAAAAAGCAGTGGAGCATTTCCTGTATTACCTCATGACATCGCAAGGTGGAACAGAGTGTTATCCATTTGAGAGAAGGAGTCACCTTAAATATACAAGATTTGTGTATTCAGCAAGTGTGAATGAAACTCCAGGTGTATTTTTGATGAGGAAACATTATAACAGATCTGAAAATAGCGCAATATAATAAAAAATCTGTCAAAACACTTTGACTAAAAATAAGTCTGTCCTTCCATTTCAAACTAAAGTGATGACAAACTAGAAGACGTTTCCATTTCATTTTCCATGTCGTAAACATGAGACACTTTCTTTCTTGATAGCGGGTACCAATCATCTCATCCTTATCTGTTTGCACCCATCTCAAGACGCCTTTGAAAGACTAAATGTAAACTAAATGAATGAGTCACGGGAGAGGCAGCCGGGAATGTCCCCTTGGGAGAAACCACAGCCCAGCCACTGTCATTATACAGGTTTCATGACAACAATCTGCCCTGGAACCGGAGATCCTCGTTTTCACTCTCACACGCTGCCTGTGTTTAGATCTGCTCCGAGTGGGCTCTTGATCCAATTTTGTGTCACTTCTGAAAACCGGTCGGACCACTCCTTTCCAGCCTATATGCAGTGTTGGGAAGTAACTAAATACTGTATGTGTACCAAACATAAGTATTCAGAATAGTAAGGGATAGATCACAAGAGTTACCCCCAATTCACACCAAAGCGCAACGGCGCGTAAGCGCAGCAGCACAGCACACGAGCAGCAGACGCGCTGCTTTAGAACTCCATTTTAACCGGTCTGACAGTGTACATCGACAGTGTCATACGCGCGTCCAACGAGCGTCTGACGCTGACGCGCTGCTAGAGATAGGTTGGACTTCTAATTTTGCAGCGTCAACGGCGCGTCTCCAAGGTTTTTAGCAGGGGAAAGACAGGAAATAAACATGCGGTGCCATAATAA